ATAAACATCAATTTAACACAGAGGAGCTGAGTGGTATTTATGAAATCAAATGTCCAGATTGCGATAAAATTTATATTGGTCAGACTGGACGCAGCATTAAAAAACGTTTCAAAGAACACCTAAGCAAACCCTCATCTGCAGTTTTTAAACATATCAACGAACATAAACATAAAATAGAATTTAACAATGTTAAATTACTTTTAAACGTGGGGAAATCGAGAGAAATGGACCTTCTCGAAGAATTGCATATTAATTTAAACAATTATAATAACAAACTTTTAAATGACACAACAGAACTTAATAATACCCGCCAATTTTTAAAATTCATTTAAAATTAACCTCTCCCCTCCACAGCCTTTTTGCTTTTCCGGCGCAAGACTTTTTCCCCAAATTTTATGTCCTTCAGTCCACCTCAAGTTTCTTCACGTCGCGGATGGACTCCTAAGAATAAAACTTTAATTTTTACGATAATTTTTATGAAAAATTTTTGTAAGTTATGCAATTTTTAATTTAACTTTTAATTTCCCCTTTCAGATTTCAAACAATTCAATTAATTTCAATTTTTAAAAACCAGTTTTTTTAACGATGAAGAGTAAGTATCCATTTTTCTCGATTCCTTTAACATAACACGTGTCTCTATCTTGTTTTAGAATATTTGTAACCAACTAACTTGCCCTTAAGGCCTTTAAAAAATTTGTGATTATTTATTTTTATCTGGTGGGCGCTGGTTAACAACAAAATCTTGGTTTTACGCTTCCACAAACTTTATTATTAATTACACTTAAACTATACATATAAATTGCGATTAGTTGTNATATGTATAACAAATTTCTTACTTCAATTTTATGTTTTTTAGTCGTGCCTGATGAAGAGATTTTGAATCTCGAAACATGTTGCACTGATCTTATATTAAGAATAAATAATTTTTCATCGTTCCCAAGGAGCTTTTATTTATCACTTACAACCCACGATAAACATTGAGTCAACTATCACCAAACAGCAATATGTAAAACTACGATTTTATTTAATTTTTACCTTTACAAACTTTTCTCGATATTTATGTATCTGAGAGCAAAAGTGTAAAAGACCAATATTGTTCAGAATAAAGTTTGACACAACTAAAGGGTTTTCCAATAAGAGGTGTTAATTTGAATAGCCCGTTATTTCGGTAGATGTCACTTTTGAAGCTGTCATTTTTTGACATTTGACAAGTAGAAAGTACGCCATTAATAAATATGGAACGATACACGCTTCAACAACNCTTTATAATAAATGTTTTGTAAATCTTTTATAGGAAAACCATTATTGAGTCCTATTTTTACAATCTTTTTTATTTCAAGGTTGAGGTTATCATTATTTAAAGGAACGTTATAAATTCTATTGAAAAAGAAGCGAAAACTGCCAAATTTATGTTGATCACAAGAATAGGAACTTTTTGGTATAATACAATCTGTGGTAGTGGGTTTTCTAAAGATATTGAAGTTGATAATGTTTTCTTTTATGTTTCTAGTTAACTCTAAATATAGGAAATTTATTTTGTAATTGTTTTCTTTTTCGAGGGTGAATTCTAAATTGCAAATGCTGTTTATCAGATTGAAAAGACCACCAAGTTTAGCATGACTTTCTTCATAGACAACAAGGATATCATCTACGTATCTGGCATAGAAAGCAATATCCTTATTGAAAAAATGATTTTTATCTGAAAATAGTTCTTTTTCAAATTCATTAAGGCATTCTTTCCCATAGGCAAACCGTCCTTCATTTTGTAAAATCTATTATTAAAGGTAAAAAAGTTCTGACTACATACAATCTCCAAAAGACCAATGAAACTATTAATTTTTAATATGTTTAATTTATTGATATCTTGTGAACTGATAAAGTATTTTTTGATGATAGATAATGTTTTAAACTAAGATTAGAACTAAAACTAGAACTAACACTAGAAACTTTCGGGTTTTGCCGTGCGTCTTTTAATAAAAGGTTTGACGTTTCGGATGCCATGTTGCAACCTTCTTCAGAAACTGGTTCGAAGTTTTCGAACCAGTTTCTGAAGAAGGTTGCAACGCCGGAAAACCCAAGAGTTATTGTTGAAAAGCCTCTCTATCCTCAACGAGTGACTGTTTGGTGCGGTTTGCGGTCCGGCGGAGTCATTGGACCTTACTAAGACGATGCTACGTGCCACACAAGCAACGAAACCATTGATCTTTTACGGGAAAAGTTTCCGGACCGTGTTATCTCTCTAAGAGGTGATCACAATTGGCCACCGAGATCTTGCGATTTAACACCTTGCGACTTCTTCCTTTGGGGCCACGTGAAAGAGAAGGTGTACGCCAACAGCCCAGCGTCGATTTAAGACCTCAAAGATGGAATTCGTGAGGCTATTGAGGACATAGGGCAGCCACTTTTCAATTTGGTTATGGAAAATTTCATGGAAAGGATATTGTCCCGTAAGCGTGGTCGTGGTGGTCATTTGCCTAATAAAAAATGGCATTTTTCTTTGAATATCAAAATAACACCTCTTATTGGAAAACCCTGTATTATACTAAAACTATTTTTCTGAAACTTTGCTAATCTCGTGCTCTAAGAGCAAAAAGAACTAAAACGATTTCATCTAATTTACCTTTTTGAATTTTTCTCGATATTTATGTATCTAAATGCAAATGTGTAAAAGACCAATATTGTTAGAAATAAAGTTTGCATAAAGTTTGAAATAAAGAAACTTTTATGCCAAAACTGCTTTTCCAACAACAAGATTTAAAACCACGATTTCATCAAATTTTCACTTTTTTTAAAACTTTTTACGGTTATTAGGCATCTAAAATGAAATGTATAAAATTGTTAAGAATGAAGTTTGCTATTATCGATCGATTCTGGTGTATGCATGTGATTAAAGAAAAATTGATTTAATTCGTGTTTGCTTGTTGAATAATTTATTAGCCTCAGGCGTAGTTAAATTAAATTTTATTACTTTGTGGTTCAGTTTAGCGATGAATTTAGAAATGGAGACTACACATAAAGCTTTCAGCTTTATTTTGATAATAGCACAATGTTTTGCAACGTTTCCTGTGTCGGGAATTTTGAATAACAACGTTCAACGTTTAAAATTAAATTTTAGAGATGTTCGGGTTTATTATTGTTTCTTCTATTTAATCTCCCTTTTGATTAATATGGGGTTTTACGTTTTAAAAATAGCTAAAGAAGTTAAATTCGGTTATTTTGGTAAGATACAATAAATAAAACAATAATAATAATAAATTTAAAAGATTTCTACTATTTTGTTTTTAGTTACTCTTCTCTTTTATTCATGTTCGTTTGTAACGACAATAATTTTTTTGGTTATCGCTAAAAATTGGAATAAATTGATGCAATTTTGGACAAGAATTGACGTAAAAATGGAATATAGACGATATGGCTTTCCGAAAAAATTAAAAAAGAAAATTTGGCTTATTACAATCTTTGTGCTATTTGGAGCTGTTTGTAAATTATTGTATAATTTTCCCGAAAAAATGTTATACAGGTTTTTTTAAGTAGTGGAACATTCTTTTTTTGTAAGTTACGCATCTTCAAACATTCCAAGTAATGGATTAGAGGCTGTTAATGAGTTTCTAAGAACTATAAACCAACATATCTTTTATTATATACCTTACGGTTTCTTATTGGGGTTATTTTTTGAGGTAAAACTGATTATAATCTAAATCTTAATTTGTTAATGTGAATTAACATAAATAATTTTTAATAGTTAATAAGCGTTTTTAGTACATTTACGTGGAATTACATGGATTTATTTATTATGGTGATTAGTATTAGTTTATCAGAACGGTTTCAACAAGTTTCAACACGTATCTTACAAATAATACAATCAAATGTAAACAAGCATAATTAAATTAAAATCATTAATTATTTGAAAAAATTGATTTTAGATATCTGACATTAACACGTGGAAAGAAATTCGCGAGGACTACAACAATCTAAGCGTTCTATGTAAAAAGATCGATTTTTTTATAGGGGATTTAATTCTATTATCATTTGCGAACAATGTTTTCGTTATTCTTGTTCAACTTCTTAACACTTTAGAACCAAAAAGTAACAACGATATCATCGGAAGGTTGTATTTCATTTGTTCCTTCGGATTTTTAATAATCCGAACGATTTTGGTGTGTATGTTCGCTTCAAAAGTTTATGACGAAAGTCAACGTTCCTTCGGCAAATTGAATTCTTTACCGAATCATTTTTATAACGTCGAGGTAAAGATACTGATTTAAAGCATACATTTTTTTTCTCATAAACGCTTTTATTCGTAGATCGATCGTTTATTAATACAAATCAACGTAGATCCTTGTTGTTTAACGGGGCGAAGATTGTTTAATGTAAAAAAATCTTTAATTTTAAGTGTAAGTCTTTCTACATGAAAAGTGACATTATAAATTCGTTTTTTCCTAGATTGCAGGTGCTATTGTGACGTATGAGTTAATTCTCATTCAATTCCATGTAAACTGATTAATAAAATCAAACAGGGAAATTTGCAGTAAAACGTTACTTTAACATATACTAAAATTTAATGTTACATAAAAATAAGAAGTCATAAGAAGATTGTCAAAAATAATTCACTAAAAATCAACCTTACGTCTATAAACGATTATAGAACTTTAACTAAGTATTATACAGAGAAAAAACTTGAATTTCACACTTTTCAGGATCCAACAAAGAGAACTTTAGCCGTAGTGTTGCGTAATGTTCCTATATCTCTAACAGACATTGAAATAAAAGATGAATTGACTACTTATTCATTACCTATAATTAGTGTTACAAGACTATTAAATAAAGTTAAACTTCCGATGCCATTATGTGCGGTTGAATTGACTCCCAACGAAAAAGCCAAAGACATTTTTAATATCAAAGAAATATGTAATGCTTTAATTACAGTAGAGCCGAGGAAAAAGTCTCAAATTATACCGCAGTGCTTTAAATGTCAACGTTTTGGTCATACTAAAAATTATTGCTCACTAAAACCCAAATGTGTAAAATGCGGTGATGAGCATAATCATAAGGATTGTAAAAAGAAAAAGAGCGATCCCCCGAAATGCGCAAATTGCGGTGAAGAACATCCAGCCAATTACAGAGGTTGTCGCGCTCACACTGAATTACAACAACTACACCCACGTCAGATGAGAAGAACTACCACTAACTCAATTCATAGATCCACTTTCCGAACATCAGATCCTAATGTGTCATTTGCCAACATAACCCAAAAAAATTTACCATCCCAAAACACCAGTACTCCAAATCCACCTCCTAAAACATCAAATAATCCCGAAATGTCTACCATTGTTACATCAATCATGAACCTCCTAAAACAAATCATTACACCACTAATTTCGCAAATTAAAAATTACTTACTGAATGAATTATTCCTTTCCTTCCCACATGCCTAATCTCCCCATAAACGAAATCAAAAACATCAATATTTTAAACTTTAATGCGAATGGTCTGAAGAAGCAGAAGAATTTAATATCGGCTTTTTTGGCTCGTTATAATGTTGATTTAGCATGTATCACCGAAACTCATCTAGTTCTGTGTAATGGTTTATAATAAACACTTCGCTTCATAATAAACCAAACTTTATTCTCACTTAATTTACATGTCTTTTTACCATCTTATTTCTTGACGCTTTTATAACCGACTCATTCTTCTGATACTCGTAATCACCCAAACCTGTTTGCAGTCATGCGCATTCAAGATCTCTATACAGTACATCACTTCCCCCTAAATTAAATAGTCATTAAACTAACCCTATAACTTATATACTACATAAACTAATTACTATATACCTTATACATCATATTTTAATCTATCAGAAGATCTTAAATTAGTTCTCGGCCTTAACATAAAATCAGATCTACGCTTTGTTCGACTTTCAAATGTTTTTGTCGTTTTCTCCGCGGTATTAACATAATTATCATTTTTTTTTATATTACATTGCCAGGTTTTTTTTATTTGATTAGCGTGCCTTCTCCACACTCCAATCTCTGGTATTTCAGCTAAATACATTACATTGCCTAATAACTCTTTAATTTTTCCTCGTATCCAATTACATTTTGACTTAACTCTATAATCCTTAACCATAACATCCTCCCCCTTATAAAATTNGGTATATCTCGTTGCTAAGTTAAACAAATTATTTAGGCGCCACCCGTAAATGTACCCGGAAACTTGAAATTATTCGTTTTAAATTCACGTCGCATCAGTGTTGGCTAGGTTACAGAATAGAAAATGTTTAATAAAATATGCGTCTTATGTTAGATTCGAGCAAAGACTGTTTATGCTTTATGCGGTAGGTTTGCCGGCGCGACGTCGTGACGTCATCGACAAGAGTCAAGAAATTCGTTATAGTATTTTTCTAGTTTTTTATTATTTTGAATATTGTTTTTGATAAAATAAATTTTACTTTCTTTGTTTTTAATGGGAGGTCATAGAATATCTTGAACACTACCTGGTTTATAAGATTGCTTCAAAACATACTTGTGCCATTGTTAAATGTTTGAAGGAGGTGTGTAGTGGCCCAACACATTTTTATTTTTTATGTACAGGGAAAGAGTTGTGAAGCTGTTTGGTGTTACGTTATGCTAACACTTTCAACAAAACCGAAATCCGCCTAGGCACATTACCCCTTTCCATCGGCCATCAGACGAGGACACTATCTTAAGGGCGTAAGTTAGTGGCGCAATGAATGGAGTCCCTTGACGCCCTACCCATTCCTTTTCCTTCTCTCTTCCTTCTCCTTTTTACTGTAACCATTCAAAAGCAAATGGTTTATTACATGGGTTTCTCATAAACTTTCTCTCATACTCTTACTAGTTCTCATAAATCGAAATCCGCCTAGACACATTACCCCTTTCCATCCCCCATCAGACGAGGACACTATCTTAAGGGCGTAAGTTAGTGGCGCAATGAATGGNTGCCATTGTTAAATGTTTGAAGGAGGTGTGTAGTGGCCCAACACATTTTTATTTTTTATGTACAGGGGAAAGAGTTGTGAAGCTGTCTGATGTTACGTTATGCTAACACTTTCAACAAAACCGAAATCCGCCTAGGTACATTACCCCTTTCCATCTCCCATCAGACGAGGACACTATCTTAAGGGCGTAAGTTAGTGACGCAATGAATGGGATCCTTGACGCCCTACCCATTCCTTTTCTCCTCTCTTACCTCTCCTTTTTACTGTAACCATTCAAAAGCAAATGTGTTATTACATGGGTTTCTCATTTTCAGGGTATTACTCTCTTGTAAATTTACATTTTTATATTTTAGTATTAGCATTAAGTACATATAGTTATTTGTTATCATTAGTTTAACTTATTTTTACTAGTACCATTTTTTCATTTCATATTGATTGTTACTTATCATATTGTTTTCTCATACTTGTATTGTACAGCTTTCAAATAAATAACTAGTAACATAATCAATTAAGGTGTTTCACTTACCAAATTCCTACTTTTTCAAATGGTAAAATATTTTAATATAAAATACGATACCTATTACCATAAAATTGGTATTGTATTAAACTAATAACTTATTCTTTTAACTGAAAATTTAAAACATTTGGTGATAAAAAGGTTAATTTTTTTAAAGAAAAAGAAAACTTTTAAGTGAAAAAACAACCTTTATTGCACTAATAACTTATGCTTTTATCTGAAAATTAAAAATTTTTGTAGTAATAATGTTTTCATTTTGAAATAAAAATATACAAGTTTTAATCAAAAAGGAAAACTTCATTGATTCAATAACTTAAGAGTTTTGTTATAATAAATCGCACTTTTAGCGCAATAATGTTCACATATTAGTTTAATATTTAAACACATTAAATTTAAAAAGGTAGTTTATTAATTCAATAGTTATTATTTTTACGTTAAAAATTATATATTTTACCATAAATGATTTCCTTATTGACTTAAAACAGATTTTAACTCTTGAATCAAATACATCTACTATTTTGGGATAACAGAAAACTTTTTTGCTTAAAATCTATTGACGTTTTTCTTTGTGGTAAAATAGAAAAACATTTGGCCCAACAACTTATTTCTCTGGGTGTATGTTTCGGAATTTCTTTCCTTCTTCAGGCACGACTGAAAATACCATGATATTATCAGATTAACTTAACAAATCAACTAAAGAGTAAAAACAATGAAGGAGCAAAAACTAACATTTAGGGAAACAAAAGGATTAAAAGATATCAAAAGAAATTAAAAGAAATAGCTCACCGTCAGGTCTCAGAGGAACTCCTTTTTATGATTAAAATTCATTTCTACTTTCGTCAACATTTAGCAGTTTAGTTTAATTCCTGAACAAATTTGAAAATTTTGTAAATGAAAATGTGATAAAAATTATTTATGGCTTGAAGAGCATGTCATAATTTAAAATATTTTGTTATTTCTTAATAAATAAAATTCTGAAAAACAAACGAAATGGAGTCAGAGCACGTGTCTTATAGGTAATGTAAAAGTTGACTTACTGGTTNTAACAATATATTACAAGTAAAAATAAAAACAAATATTTTATAATTTTGATTTTTATTACAAACGTAAAACTTCCCTAAGAATACTCCACTTCCTATTAAAAATTAACACTAATAAGTGGAAGATACACACTATTTAGTGATATTTTGTTAATTAATAGAGTAAAATTAGATCGAATTTTTAATAATTTACACTGATTAGATTAGAAATGTATCTAATTAGAGTCACGACAACATCTAGTTAGATTACATATAATACACTGTTATAGAGTAACGATTTTACACTATTTAATAAACACCATCTTCTCACTATTTAATGTACATTTTTAATCTAATCACCTACACTATATAGTGTAAAAAAATAACTCTAAATAAATTGGACCGATCTGAACCATGTTTTAGAGTTGATTTATACTCTATATTTTTTCCTGTGTAACCCCACTTCTGACACCATGTTGTACGCTCCGAGTCTCGAGGTTAACTGTCTTTATTCTACAACTCCCGTATTACAGGTTGTCTAACAACCACCCAACAACAGAGATTTATTATATGGCAAAATGAATCTACATCTTCAACAAAATACTGTCGGCCAATAAAAATAATTTTTCATAAAGAAACAAAAGCATTTGTCAAAAATGAAATTGAAAACATTAAAAAACAAATAGATGAACTGCCTCCAATGATTACTGAATTTCATACAAATCTGATACCGTGTTATTCCTTTTTTTTTTTAACCATGATTGATGGTAAAATTTGCAGTTGGTTATCTGATACGCCTGGTCAAAACTGTCACCTTTGTGGAACTTCTTCGAAGCAAATGAATGACATAGATGTCGTATTAAAACGAGTGATAAAAGAAGATAAGTTGGAATATGGAATTTCAAGCCTCCATGCGTGAATAAAAGCGTTTGAGTACATTTTACATATTCCATACAGATTAGATATATGTCAGGAAAGAAGATAAGGAAAAAGTAGAAACAAGGAA